TGGAAGTCCCAATCGCTTAATTTTTAAAGTATTTTACCCTCGATATCTCGAATCATCGGATATCTCAAAGTTTTTTCTTAGTCCCATCTAGTTCGAGATAATGAGGTTTGACTGTATATAAGTGAATATTTGCCTTCCCATACATGTGTCGGAATGAGATATCATTTGATGACTGGCTGCAATAATTGGTAACTATAGATTGTACAAAGTTGTTGTATCCAGAACAGTTTCTTCTTTTCTCAGGCCTTGGGTCACTGAGGAAGTCTACAGCTAACTTTCTCTTGGTTGGCAGCTTTTCAGCTTTGACTGGAGATTTTTGAAAGCACACAACAAATCAAATAAACTGCACTACCATAAAACATTAAGTCATTTTCTGTGGTTATAAATGAATAATAATGTTTTAAAACTGATAGTTTTAGATACAAATTCAAAGAAATTAACAATATCCAGCATTTTTGTATATGTATTGAGTTATTTAGAGGAACAATAAATTACAATCATAGGAGGATTTTGGTTTTGTAAACATCACTAATGTATCAGTGCAAGACTACCCCAGTTTGAGTTCTCCTGATTCTGCAAAATCTTTTATCATCAGGAGAAATCCAGCAAAGGATCTCCAGACATTTTGTCTAATCTTACCTTATATATATATATATATATATATATATATATATATATATATATATATATATATATATATATATATATATATATATATATATATATATATATATATATATATATGATACCTGATACCTGTAGCGATTAATATTATTATGAAATGAACAACATCAAGAGCACCAATGCTCACTAACTTTGTGATGTTTTAAAATAATTTCAGTTGTAAACTTTATTTTAAAAAAAAACCAACTTTTTTCTTCGTTGCTGCTCCGACAATGCCACTTAGGTAGATGTTATCCCGAATGAATATCGAACATGCTAAAACACTTTCATACATAAGTTGTCCTTTTGTCACAGACTTTATATCATTTCTTGATTGCCTGTCATCTGAATGAAAGTAATAAAGTACATGTATTTTAAGATAAATGATACTTCTGATGATCATGAACTCCAGTGTATCACCTAATAGTTTTAATTTTTGGTGATTAAGGGGGAACAATCCATTATTAAATTTTTCTTAATCATTTTTATTCTAAATGAACATGTATACAGATTTTATCACATGCTTACTCCTTTATTTAGATATAGCTCATATGATATCGTTTTCGTATTCTTTTCAAATGTAAAATATGAAAGCCATAGCTCCAACCAATCAAAAGTTATGGGCAAGGTTAAAGTTTTTTGCGGACAAACAGACAGACAGACAGACAGACGGACAGGGCAAAAATTATATGCCCCCGAATCTTCGATTATGGGGCATAAAAAGTGTGGGGGTTTCAATGAACATTTCTATAGTAAAAAGGTTATGTCTGGAAAAAAGGGGAGCAAATATTTGATATGTAGATGAATCATGGTAAGAGAAATAAAATGTAAAAAATGTAAGATTACGATTAGAGCAAACCTCTAATGTAACACTGATTGTTGAAATTTTATACAAAATAGAGTAGCTTCCTATTCATTAAAATTCTGGATAGATAAAGTTGGAAAACTTTTCTGTTGTAAAGAGGAAGAGGCTGCAATGCCCTAAAATGGCCCCAAAATTCACGAAATTTTTAAGTCACCAACATTATAAAAACTGTTTATATTCTTAATGTTTGGAAACTATTTTTCACTAAAATATTTAGAAATTTAAATATAGTGCACTAATGACGTCACCAATACTAATCAAACTGATGATGTTTCCCGCAAAATCCCCAAAACAACTGATTTTCCTACAATTTCTTTGATATTTCAGTACCTCCGCATGCACCCACCAACTTAAAACTTCTGTCATTTATTTATCATAGTATTAAAATTTATTGAGCCAAATATCTTTTTGGTGGATGCGTGCGGAGAGTATAAATTATAACAAATCTTGTACGGCGGTGGTAATATTTTCTGTTCTTACGGAACAATACATCTATAAATATCTTACAGTCCTGTCTAATTCAAGAGCCTTTCTCTTTCGTTTAGATATGAGTAAGATTTTTAAGTGTATTTAAGGTATAAAATTTATCTAAATATCCTTCGTAAAGCCTACCAGAAAGGGGGGGGGGGTGAGGCTGAATATAACGAGTGCCGAGTTGTTGCTACCTACGCTATATACATAACAACGAATGCTTCCGCTTTGTGCCAAGTGAAAACAGCCCCAAGATGTTTTGGTACCAAATGAAAGAAAAACCTAGATCACACGAAAGGTAATAATTATAAAATGTTATAATATAATTAGAGTGTGCCGTTTTAATAAACGGGTCACACATTGATTGTACCTGATCTCACAAATAACTTTACATGAAATTGATGAAGATACCTTGTCGTCTGTTCAGTAATTGTACCATAGGACTGGCGGTAAATTTAGATTTTGCTTTCATGTTGCTGTGGTGTATTTGCCAGAAGAATCACAGCCCCTCGTGAATGAAAAACTGTGAGTGTATTTACAGCTAACCAATTAATATCTATAGTGTAACTATAACATATTCGATAATATTATTGATAAATCGTAAATATATCGTAAATATATGCCCGTAAATACGTAATACCATTAATCTATATTCAATCATACTGATTATCGATGCTTGTCCATCTCCCCCTCCAATTTTTATTCTTTGATGGTGATTTGACAACACAATGTATATGAGATTATGTATCGACACCGATAAGTAGGCTACTACCTAACGTTGTAGAATGAATAAACAATAGGGATCGAAGCAATGTGTTGTTTTTTTTTCGTTACTAATACAAAACTGCATTTTGTCTTCGAAAAAACATTTATAAGTGCAGAAAACCAAAACACACATTACATTTACAGGCACTTGGGGGATGGACCCCCCCCTTTTCTATTTTTTTTTTTTTTTTAATCTGGGATCAATACACCTTTTCCCTATTTTTGTATTCTAATATGCACTATATGTTATCGATAATGAAATTAGTTTGTCCCAATAAGCTGTTTTTAAATATATCATTTTCGACTGATACATAAAAAGAGAGAAGGCTTGCAACTCTTTTCTCGTCATCCACCTCACCTCGCTTAAACTTCGCGTGATTATTTATCGAAAGCATAACAAAACATGGAATATGCATACAATTAATTTGTTACACATTCTTCTTCCTTTTCATATTTTCATTTCATTTTTAAGTGCCACCGATTTGTAAATATTTCGATTTAATCACTGGCATCTAGGGGAAATTTTGTTGGTCCATCCCCCAAGTGCCTGTGATTACATTTATAGAAGATGACGTGTGTCAAAGATGACGTCACATAGTTTGCAGGTAATATTAGAGGCGGATCAAATATTCCTTACGCTTGTTTTTTCACCAAGACGGAAATGCAGCGGGGGTACACAGTGTTGTAATAGGTAGGAAGCAATTAAAAGCTAAACACTTTTATCCTAATGATATATACATGTACAAATAAGGTGTGTGTTTGTAAACCCTGTCAATTGGACACGTGCTTTAGACGGCACACGTTTAAATGAACACGGAAAAATCCAAATGAACACGAAATGGTGGTGTTCAGTTGGATTCTGTCATAAATCAACTAGAAAATGTCCTAGGATGCATCCCATTTCAAAAAAATGAAGTGTTAATTTGACCGGATGCATGAGATCTGTGTAATGAGTGTGTATAAGATGAACACCGATCCATCATTTTTTCTTCTCGGCGAGACTTACACACATTGCGAGTGCGCATGCTCGTTACATCAAATGACGTCGTAAATGACATCATAATACAGTACCCGTTTCACACTTAGTCATGTACATGAGGACGAAGTAAACTTTGTAAAAGGTAAGTGAAAAATCCGTAAATAAATAAATAAATTTTATGTATAAAATATTTATGAATTAATGAGTAAAGATATGTGTCCATTATGACATTACGGCATTATTGTCTACTCAGTAATTTACCTAGGGTATGTATACATGTATATGTGGTGTAGTTACAATGTGCATCGTTGCATGATTGCAGTATAAATGGTTAAAACCAATATACTGAAAGTTATTATTATTTATGTTAGTAAAAACATAAAGAAATCTTTTCTATATCTATGTCTCTGGGAAGGTAAACACATTCCGTATTGGCATATGTTGTACTCGCGGAGAGAAACTATTTCTGTATGTACGTGCATCTAATATTTCAATTTTATTGAATCAACGTTGATCTTTTGCAATGTGTAGCAAAATATACTGTCAGAAATTTTAAATGTTTTCTTGCGTTTCGCATCTTGTTTATGTGTCATGTCAAGTTCGAAGGTCACTCGAATGGTTCGAAGGTTTCATATTAAAAACGAAAGTAGAGTCGGTCACGCCATGACTGTTATGGGCCGGGGAAACGTTCAGTCTGCCTGGGTTATATATAGGTACGTGGGCTGCTAAAATCATTATTAATATTGTGTACATATTACATGTAAGCTGTCAACTAAAAAAACACATGTACAACTGAGACGTAAATATTAGAAATAACTTCTGCACGTTTAAATGATGAAGGGGGGGGGGGGGATTTAGCTGTTTACTTCTCCCAGGGACATAATGATTTAATTGTTAAGCATGTATAGGTCCCTGCTTCAACGTGGTCTTCTAGCCCTGGCAAACTGGGGATATAGTGCAGCTATATAAGTTGATATTAATGTCAAAGACATGCTGTGCATTTAGACAGTGACATGCCCTAATTCAAAGTATGAGAATTTAAAGATTGATACTGGTCATTTTATTGGCATGCACTCATTATTGCATTGGGGCAATTTTGAGAGAATATGTGTATATAGCTGTGATGATTCATGAAAATGATGTGACTTCTACTAAGTTACAGTAATTAAGAATATTTTCCTATTTATCATGTTTATTTATCATGGAATTCATGTTTTAAAACTGATGTTATCATACATTTCAGGTAGATTCATTGATTTCGGGTCAGAAATTATCAATGTTCATGGATTCTCAGAACACAGCAGGGAGAAGTTTATGGTATGAATGCAATTATATAATATTCATTTAATAGTGAAAATTAAGCTACATGTCAGGAAAAAAAACAAACACTACCTGAAGTTCTAATGATCTGAGTTCATGATGATGTGTTTGTGTATCAGCATGATCTGTATACGTTTTCCTGCATTGTTTCATACTACAGTCATCATCATGAATCAATGTTTTACATGTAATATTTACATGTAACATGTAATATTTATTTACCTTAATGACAGTCTGTTGGTCCAAGACCGGCAATTTTGGGAGGATCAATAAATTTAAAATTAAGTCTGTATGTTCATGATGTTATCAGTAATTGTGCCAGTATAAAAAAAATTAAAGGTTCGGTTTAAAAGACAGAGAACTTCACCAATAATACATGTAGTCCAGATAAAAAAGTGAAATAAAATTATTTATAAAATGGGATTAAAAAAAAGATGTTTGCAACTGACAGTCATACTGATAATTTTCACTATTTAGCTATTTTCCACAGGACACATAATTAATACTACACCATTGGCCATTGTTGTCATCAGGGCATACCATGTAATGCATTAATATATTAAACAAATACGAACTACCGGTACTATAAATTCTCTTTTATGGTGTGCACACTTTTATTTTCAGCAAAAAAAAAAAAAAAAAAAAAAAAAAAAAAGGAGGGGTACACACTGTACATGTATTTATTGGGGTATAATTAATTCTTTATTGCATAATACACCCATATGGGTCAAGCAATACATATACAATCCATAATTAAAAAAAAAAAACAAAAAACAAAAAAAAAACAAAGAACAATGAATGTATTTATACAGTAGACAGGCGCAATTTAAGTAATTTACTTCTTATATGTTACACCAATGTGGACCTTTTATTTCTTAATTCTAATGATCGTTTTATAAAAGTGCAAACAGCCAGTATAACTTCAATTAATGCAACCACTGAAATTCAAAATGAAGAGATTTACTTCCATTCAGGGATTTAAAAAAAAATTGAGAACCCCATCTACACTGCACCTTAAAGAGTTCTGATTCTATTAATGGTATTTTTCTGCAGTTAGAGTGATCTGCCCTTAGATCTCAATTCCAATAAATTGAAATGTACAGTATATTATACTCAATTTGTAATCAATTTAGTATTCTTAACATTTTAAAAAGGTGAAGATAAATTAATTGAACACTTTACTTGCATGTTTTTTCTCTACGGAAGTAAACAAAAGTGATTTCTGTTCATTGATACTTTGTCGTCTCTGAACATTTTTCCTGGGGGTAAATGCCACGTACCATATATTGAAAATTAGACAGAGAAGCTCAATATTTACACCTTTATTCAATATAATTTTCTCAATATCCAAAAAACATTTTGCACTGGTGTATAGAGGGTCCTTAATGAAAAGATTTTCCAACAGCAGAGAATACAATTATGTTATATGGAATTATGATTGAACATTTACAATATTTATAAATTCTTCAAAATTTTTCTGTCATCTAGGGTGTCATAGAGACATAAATAACAGAGATATGTAGCTGTCTGAAATCTTGCAAATTTTTAAACTCCCTCCCACTCTAACATGAGGCACTGGAAATGCAGGGAAAAGTCATTTTTATTTTTTGGAATATGGGATTAATTATGCATAAATTACTGAAGCTAACATTGGCATTATTTAAAACTGGATCTATTAGCAATTAGAATTTTAAAAAATAAACAATTTCAACAGGTTTTATGATTTTTCCCCATCAAAGTAATAAAAAATGTAATCACACTAGATGACTCTGCTCACTTATTTACATTATCAATAGAAAGGTCAGAGAAGCTACATTTTATATATATACATGTATATATATACAATATATGCTTTTAAAGCAGAAGTATCCCTTTATTTCGTCAGTTGGTCGTTGTTAACATTATCAACGAAATTAAATCCCACATGAAATTTTACATTACAATATAATGAGTAGGGTTACATTCGTAACAAAGAAATTTAATGCCCACGAAACCTCAGATAACAAATAACAAATTAAAATTTTATCCCCACGAAAATTTGTGCTTCTACAGTATATAATCAACACCTTAATGCCAATAAAACTTACAGCCAATGCATTTAGTATTTTTAAGTGCAGTGACTGGAAAAGCACAGTAAATTCAGACCAAAAGTTCATTTTATTTATCTTGGACTAAAAACATTTTTGATTTAGTGTATAGAGGGTCCTTAACAGTCCTTTAATTGTCTTTATTCTAATCGGGATCGGTATTCAACCTAACATTCACTTTCATTTTAATCATGCGAATGTGATTTTATCAGCTGACAAGAATATGTATTAACTGGTTGTGAAGCTTTGATGAGGGTGTACAGTATGAGATATGTACATTTAATGTCGTCTTCACAAGGAGCAGTCTATGCGTAAGTCTTTTGGACGACACAGGACATTTGGTCCTGTGTAATCAATGAACACACAGGACCGAACCAAATTTTGTCAGACCGAAAAACCTAATGTAAAAAAGTGAAGCACGTGAAAATACAGAGTAGTAGACTAGCTTAACAGCTTTTCTTTAACAAGGGATCACTCCTGCATAATATTGTAGAAAGACCATGCGGTTTTAATCACATTCATGTATGTATTTTGATTTCTGTGATATTTTTTTTACTTGTAACAAACTTTTAAATGATACCGCATCAAAATAATAATGCTCAAAACTGGACACTGACACATCGGACATTCTTGTCCAGTGTAAAAAAAAAAAGACGCATCGGACCAGAGGCACTGGACATCGGTCAGGTCCGACGGTCCAATGTCTTTCGCATAGACTGAAGGAGGGTTTAATTCGAATTAAATGTAAGCCAGGGTTTGACACTAAGGCACGTCCGACCGACCCAGTCTAGTAAAAGAGCGGTCCGGTCATGTCAAATGTTCGTGAACTAGACCGACTGTTCGTGTGGATGAAATAAATGTTAACCCTCATTGCAGTCTTCCAAATAAATGTTCTAAAAACTTTTTCAAGAAATTTTCTTAATTTTACGATTGTAAACACAGCCATCGCTCGGAACAAGAAAACTTCCCCGCATGACACAATAGCTGTTTTAAGCCCGGCTGTAATAGACAACTCGCGATCGAAACTAGCCAAGTTATCGAATAATATATTCTCTAATTTATTTATATTTACGGTAATATTTTTTTTAATTTCCTTGAATGTTCTTTAAAGCCTATAATATTTGCATGTTCCGCATAACCCGACTCAATGGGCTGCGACCTATGGAAAGTGTAATCTTAACACGTGCTAGAGATAGTATGGTTTCGAACTTTTTTCATTAAAATACCAGGTTATAAAAAGAAAATTTTCAAGTTTAGTCGAGGCTAGTGATTTTATGGTCAGGGCTAGTAAAAACTATGGGAAGTAGCCCGACTGGTCTAGTACTCATAAAAGTTAATGTCAAACCCTGTAAGCTAATACAGATTAAATTTGAACCACATTCACATGGAGAATTTAATGCACATAAGTTAATTCAAATTAATTTACTGCGCATCAAATTTCTTTGCATTAACTCCATGTGAACACTAAGCAAAGCTATAATTAGAATTAAATTTTGATGCATGTGTAATAGCACAATTAAGCCACATGCCATATATTGATGGTCAGGTACATTATTTACATGATTAAATACAATGAGACAAATGAAAGCCACCAGTCCTCCTCAATGTTTGGAAATATAGGATTTTTTTAATATGATGACCTGAAGTTGAAAATACACTGTTTTATAAATAACTATATTTTGTATTTCCTGTCCTATACATACTAACAGTACATGATTAGATCTAATTATACTGTATTATGTATAATGATATATTTATGATGCTTTATCAATGGACAGTAATTATTCATTTTTATTCCTACATTAACTTATTCAGGTGTGACCAGTCAACAGAGGATGCTGACTCCTCCTTAAGACACCTGATCCCACCTCTGGGATTTCCAGGGGGCCCTTGTTTTTGCCAGGCAAAGATTTTTTGAGATTGATCACTATTCATTATATTTATTTTTTTTTTCATTCACATGTATATCTCTTTGAACTCAAAGTTAAAGACACCACAGAGGCTTATACATCTGTTTTATATTCGAATTTTACTAGATAAAGACATTATTGGCAAAGTAACAACTACAGTGCAGGAAACTAATTTTGTTACAGCATCCATGCTGATTTGAATGCTTCCTTTGCTTGCTGATTTGAATGCTTCCTTTGCTTGCTGATTTAATGCTAGTAATCCTTATCCTGATGCTGTTTTATAATTAGGTCAATGCTACCGGAAGTAGCATCATGCTACCGGAAGTAGATAATGAATTTCAGCATTGCCGTTTAAAGCAATAAAAGTGCCTTTTACAATTATTTGATCATAATATCTCACTATGTATCAAAAATGTGATTCTTTAACCAATATTCTTTCTTTCTTTTTTAATTTTTTACTGAATTAAAACTCATTGATTTTCTGATGCTAGTAGGATAATGCTGATTTTATATAGGTCAATGCTGGTTTTATCCTTTGCTTGCTGATGCTGATCCTGGTTATGTTGTTTTTTAAATGCTGATCCTGATGCTAGCTCGATCCTGATGCTACTAATGCTTATGCTGATGCTAGTTTATGTAACAAAATTAGTTCCCTGCACTGTAAACTTTATGATAAACATGTAACTTTAATTTTTCTATTATTAATTTCCTTACTTATGTAGCATTATCACCTGCATATGGAGTTTATGTCTCCCATTTTATTCAAAGGGCAAGAGCATGTGTACCAAGTACAAACAATTACGTAAATGAGGCAAGCTATTGGCAAATAAGTTGATGATACAGGTACAGCCAACATTTTGCAAATGCTGTGTTTGATACAATGACCTTGTTAACAAATACAGTCTACAGATAAGTCAAATGTTTACTGATGTTTTTCATACAGAAATTGTTAGGCCATTATTTTTATACTGAATTATCTACAGATTTATCCATTCACCCTATTATGACAAGGAGCTCACAGCAGGTGTAACTAGTTGACAGGGGATGCTTATTCCTCCATGACAACTCATCCCACCTCTGATGTTTTAGAGATCTATGTTTGCAATGCTCACAATTAGTAATGTTTCAATGCACCTTTGAGCTTAAGAACCCTCTCTACACTGCACACTAAAGAGATCTGATTCTATGGTATTTTTCTGCAGTAAGAGTGATCTGCCCTTAGATCTGAATTCAAATAAATTGAAATCTTCAGTGTATTACTCAATCTGAGATCAATTCAAGCATTCTGAACATTTTAAAAGGCTAAGATAAGTTAAGTGGACACTTCATTTGCATATATTTTATCCACTGAAGTAAACAACAGTGATATCTGTTCATTGAAACTTTGCCGTCTTTGAACATTTTTCCTGGGGGTAAATGCCACGTACCATATATTGAAAAATGAATAGATAAGCTTAATATTTACAAATGTATACAGTATAATTTTCTCAGTGTCCAAAAAACATTTTACACTGGTGTAGAGAGGGTCCTTAAATACTATTTGTAATCTTGATATTTCATTAAAGGTCTGCAACATTCTAATAGATGGGAATCACTTTATCTTTTCAGTTATGAACAGTTCTTATCAACAAACCCTGTAAGAAGAAGGACACCTGTTCTACAGCTTGTGGTGGATCATAGAACACATGATATCAACCAAGTTTAAAGGAAGCATGTATAGCCACAATAGAAAGATTTAAGGATTGTGAGAAACCAAATATGACAAATCAAAGTAAATTTCATGGGAGTGTGAAAAAAAAAGAATAGTAGAGTGTAATCCTCAGGACTTTCTTCAGACTTCCATAAAGTCAGGAAATACTGTTGAGCTGACAAAATTAACAAAAATCATGATTCTCAAAAATTCAAGGAAGATGTGAGAGTTAAGACTAAGATGGATTTTAGGAGTTTTGATGACAAAGAATCAACCATTGGAAATATGGCTTTAAACTTGGATCTCATTATTGGTAATTGAATTAAACATTTATCTTGATTGTTAATAACCTAACAATTATGATTACTACCATTTAATTTTAACTAATTTTTACATGTAGTTTTACATTTTTTTTAAATACATATATTTCAATTTTCATGAAAGCTAAAGGACAAGGTGCATGTATGACTTTACATTCCCCCCCCCCCCCCCTTTTGAGTTTTTAGCTCACCTGAGATGAAAGCTCAAGTGAGCTTTTCTGATCACATGTTGTCCAGTGTCTGTCCATCCATCTGTAAACTTTTCACATTTTCAACTTCTTCTCAAGAACCACTTGGCCAAAGTTAAGCAAATTTGATACAAAACATTCCTGGGTAGAGGGGATTCTAAATTGTTAAAATGAAGGGCCAAGTTCCCTTCCAAGGGGAGATCATCAAGAAAATGCAAATAGGATGGGGTCATTGAAACATCTTCTTTCAAGAAGCAATGAAACAGAAAAGTTGACACTTATATGGAAGCTTCCTGAGGTAGTGTAGATTAAAAATTATTTAAATCTTGCCACCGGGGGGGGGGGGGGGGGGGGGGGGGGGGGCACAATGGGGCCACAATACTTACTTACTAAATAGGAAAAATTATTTAAATCTTGCCACCGGGGGGGGGGGGGGGGGGGCACAATGGGGCCACAATACTTACTTACTTATAGGAAAAATCTTTAGATATCTCCTTCTCAAGAACCACTGTGGCAGAAAAGCTGAAACTTAAATAAATGCTACCTAAAGGAATTGTAGATTATGAATTGTTCACATCATGGCCCCAGGGATTTTTTTCACCCTTTGATTCCAGGGGCCGGGGCCATCAAGATTGGGAAAAAAAGCGATATTTGGTTGAAATTGGGAAAAACATCTTCATACAAATAAATAGTAAAAAAACAAGCAAAAGTGAAATTCTTAATCATTTTTCTTATTTTTAATAGTATGAAGCTGGCTTAAACCAGCTTTAGTGATATGAAATAATAGCAGCTGTTGAAGTTCAGAAGCTTAAAAATGACAAAGCCACAGGGTATGATAACATTCTAAATGAACATATTTATACATTGTCATCTTTTTTACCTTTATTTAAGAAGTTCTTTAAAATAAAATTTGATAGTGGGTTTGTTCCAGATGAGTGGTTAATCGGTATTGTTTGACCAATTTATAAGAATAAGAGCAATTCAACCCAGCCTGAAAATTAACATTTGAACATTTTATTTCACTTTATGGCCTCACGTGAGCTATAAAAGTACAATCAACAAATAAATCAACAATGAAAAGGTAACAAATGAACAAAGGATTAATTAACATATATACAATATTAATTTAGAGGTATCGGAAGGAATTTCAAGAGTGAAATAAACCGTCCTAGGCAAACTGGAGAGACTGACATGATGCACATTTATTTATTAAATAATGATCCCGACTTTAATTTTTAAACATCGATCCAGCTTTAAAAAAAGTATGCAAGTAAATATCAATAGTATTCCGAATAACTTCTCGGAACTCCTCTGATGGCTCGTACATCGCACATAGAGAACATAAACACCTTTTGTCATTATTTTAATAATTTACAACTTAATACATTTTTCATATTGGGAATTTTTAGGTATAATTTTGGGAAAAATATGCACTTTTCAGCATTGGGAATGGGGCCCAATTTCAGCACTGGAGAGACCCTTAAAAAATCCATGGGCCCCTGGGGGTAAGGTGAGGCCACAATAGGGAATGGATGTTTTACATTGAAATATATAGGGAAAAAAATCTTTAAAAATCTTATTCTCAAGACTACTGGACTAGTAAAGATAAAATTTAGTTGAAATCTTCCTGAGGTAGTGTAGATTGCAAATTGTTCAAAACATGTCCCCTGGGGGTAGGGTGGGGCACAATAGGGAATCAAAGGTTTACATTGAAATATATAGGAAAAATTTTAAATTTCTTCTTCTCAAGAAATATTGGACTAGAAAAGATGAAAATTAGGTGAAACCTTTCTGGGCCACAATATAGGGATTATATTGGGTAAATCTTTAAAATGCTTAATTCTTCTCAAGAACAACAAAGCCATGATGAATCATATTGATGTGGAAGCATCCTCTGGTAGCGTAGATTCATTTTTTTATCAAATGATGGCCACTCTATATAGGTTGGGGCCACAAAATACGTTCAAAATTTTACATAGGAATATATGTATATTGGGGGAAAAACCTGTTGCAGAACAGCAGGGCCAAAGTGACTCAGGTGAGTGTTGTGGCCCATAGGCCTCTTGTTTTGTTGTCAGCGCACTATCTTTGCTTTGAGTCTAATCTCATAAGTGCTTTCTCATTCAAAAATTATGAAGTCTAGAGTAAAGATTCATTGAATTAAAAGTAGGGATGAGTATCGAAATGCAAAAAAAGGAATTAAACATGAAAATATTTTGACTTGTGTTTTATGATATATATTGATGCATATCACTTAATCTTAGGGATTTCAAAACATTTATTTTCCTTAGTCGATTATTAGACAGCATTATTCGAACGATAGTCTAATATTCGGAACACTTTCTGAAAAAAATAAATTATTTCAAATTTCACTGGTACATGACGTATTATAACTCAAAAACCCTTTTAATTAAATATATTTAAAAAGTACCATCAAAATTAATGTACATGTAACGTAATGCTTGGACAACATGATTATATGAAATAAAGTTAGAAACCTAATTCTCCAAAATCGGTCTGTACATGCAGTCAGTTTTTGTTTTAGTAAGCATTAAAAAAATTGCCAGCCGATATTAATCAGTGATTTTTGTACATTTTTTAAAAGGGGCCTGGGCCTTTACAATTGGGAAAAATTATTGACATTTGTGTTAATTTGGGAAAAATCAATAAGATTGAAATTAACCTTAATTGACAGGTAAAAATATATATTTAAATGTCACATCATTTATTCAAAATGTTTACTGCAAAATAAATTAGAAACAGTTTTACATTTTTAACTTTCTTTTTTTTAATCTTTGAAAGTTGTCATTAATTGAGACCGTGCTATATTTCTATCCCCCTTTTTTTTTTTGTCATAAAGGTAGACGTAAGAGAAATCCTAATCATAATAGCCATTGAAGGTGATATAACCTGACATGATTTATAACAAATATTTTTTTCTTACTAATTATTAAGCTTTCTAAATTACCCAAATCATATTGCTGCATTTACTCTGCAATATTAGTTGCATCTGGCAGGTGTAGAAACAGTTTGATTTTCATGGAATCAGGGATGCTTGTTGAACTTCTAGTACTTGGATTTACAAATGAACCTATGTTTCGCTGGTTCACATGCATCTTACACTTTATTACGATGTATTTAGTTTCACGTTTGACATGATCCATGTGGGTTTTTTTTTTAAAGTCTTGTAAACGCACAAAATAATCTGCTGTTCTTCACAATTATTTTAAGAGTCTGAATGACTGAGAACCATTTTAGATAAGTTGTACATAAAAAATCTATTTAACAAAAGCAATAAAGGTATTATTTTGGGAAAAAAAAGCAACTGAAATGGGGGGGAAATCAACAATTTTAAAAGAGGAAAGGGCAGATATTCGGACATAAATTGGGTGTAGAAAAATCACTGTTAATACATGTATTATGAAATTGGGAAAAGGGGGGGGGGGTGTAATCTCACACTTTTTACGCGTCATGTGCCTATGAAATTGTTAAACAGTTAAACACATTTTGATAGCCAGAGCAATCAATAATTGATAAAATTATTGATTGCTCTGGCTATCAAAATGTCCTTAAACAGTTTAAAATGTAAGCGAATGGTTTTAATAATTATCGACGTGTCAAAACATATTTGTCACAGCCATGGTTGGTTCCTTGCATTTGAGCAATCTTAAAACAACAACAGATAATTGGTACATGGTATAAGATCAAGTCCAATTGATATTTTACAAACAAAGCCCACTATATTAGTGGGTAATTTATTACAAAACAACACAGGCCGTTACTGACAAATAATTCTCGCAGTAGTCAAGCACTAAGTCTTAAAGTTAATTACTGTACTTTCTTTACATTCATAGAAAATCAACCGTTTTTTGTTGAGAAAAATTGTCTTATCAAATGTCTCTGAGGAAAGACAGTTCAATTCTCAAATTTGTGATGAGAATTCCATCTTGTTATTACTCTTTTATTGCATTAAATTTTATTTAATGATAATAATATTCGAATTTCGTTTCATTATTCGATCGTCGGTCCATTCGACTGACAGTCAAATAGTCGACTATTCATTGACTCTCTACTTAATTTTTACTTCTGTTCTATGTGTTCTGTAGAATATAAAAAAATCATAAAAGTTTTCATTGTAAAATTGTTAGGAATAGATGCATTCTTCAATCATTATGAAATAAGGTTTGTTTATGAATATAATTTATAGAATAATACAAAATTCGATATCTCAAAACAAAAAAAACAAAAAAAGAAAGAAAGAAGGGAATTACATTTTGTAAAGTACAGTGTACTTTAGGATGACTTGAATTCTTTTCTAATTTTTAAAATTGACAAAGTAAAAAAAGAGTTAAGATAATTTTTTGCTTTTAACTGGTAACCAACTTCAGTTGAAAGGTATCTCCATATACTGGTATATCAATACACCCCTAATTAAGAGACTATGTGTGACAAATAAAGGACATATAGATTTAATGAATTTATAATTGCAATATATAATAAAATCATTAGATATTTTTAGATAAAATCTGTTGAAAGTAAACTTATAAGAGGGACATGCTGATTGCTGAAGACTTTAAGTGTATGTAGACAACATATTTAAACTAGAGTGTTCCAAGGAACACGTGTCACCTCACTCACCTGCTTTGTAGCTTCATTTCAGGTGTAAACAAATCTATAAGTACCTGGTCAGCTTTTTACTTAATTACTAATTTACTGTGTATAAAGCATGATAAACTGATAGTTCATGCATTTGCCTGTAAAGAAAAAATTGGCATACACGGATAGTATTCTGCCAGTCTAAGAAAATATGGTTCCTTAAGCCTCAAAGACATGTCAAATAAACATTTAAATTGAAATTATTAGAAATATCTATTTATCATTTTATTAATTGTTTCCAACAATCCTCCAAGAGATTTCAGTCTGTCTTTACTGCATTTGTCTGTCTTCATGATCCATTGTTGAGAACTGATCCCAATGTATTTTTAATGTTTTTAAAGTACTTCTTCATGAGCTAAACATGTTTCCAATAATCATTCAAAAGAGATTTCAGTCTATCTTAATTTACTGCAAATCTTAGTCTACATGATCCATTGTGAAATACCCATCATGATGACTATTTTCATAGTATTTGAATAAGTTTGTCTGGTAACTGAATATCATAAGGTTTCAAAGTACACGATCATGAGCTCATGAACATGTATTAATGCCAGTTATCTAAACCCTGCCTCTCAAAATTCAAAATTCATAAGTTTAATTAACTGCCCAAGATATTTTTTGCAATTAAGGTCAAAGGTCAAGGTCAAGTGGATTGTAATGCTGATATTTTTCATATTGTCTTATGACAAACAGTATACATGCTAAGTAGCATAGACTTACCTCTTAAATGTTAAAAATATGTTGTATATCAGCACTATGAACTATTTTAAAGGTCAAGGTCAAAGGTCATAAGGTCGGTACCCCCATGATAATTTACAAAAGCTGTAGTGCCAGGAAATGTATGTGCAAAATATCAAATCCATACCTCTTACAGATTTCGAGAAATAGGGTGTGACAGACAGACAGACAGCTAGACAGAGGCCTGGTAAAGTGATCCCTCAGTGCCGCTCTACTCTGCAGGTGACACAAAAATAGTGAATAAATTCTAGCAATGGACAGGCTTTCTACAGCACAGTGTATATATATATATATGTGAAAACTTCCTACACACAATATTGTCATTAAAAAGCCCCTGCAATCTTTACATCTAATATTCTTGATAATTACTTTCATCAAATTTTAACCTGCCACAGCAAGAATGATGCATGTGATGAAAAATATTTGCTAAAAGGATCAATTAAAATTTCTAATGTTTAAAAATGTTTTCTTTACTCATTATTCATTAAAATTTTATGTGAATCTAGTTTTAAGTTTTATATTTCTGTTTGAATCACCAAAGGTAAGATTATCACTTTTTAAAAAAAATTCTCAATCTAAAAAAAGTTGGGTCTTTTAACTTTTGAGGGGGTGTAAACTTCTTATTTTATTAGTCCCCTGTTGGTGGAACTGGAGGGGACTATAGGTTTTCTCCTTCATGGTCTAACTGTTAGTCTGTCCCATTTGGTTTTCCACACTTCTTTGTTTTATTACAGCTGTGCTCTGAAAAGTGGGGCCTTCCTTTTAATTTATTTAGTTAGCATGTTCTACATGTATATGACACATCATGTACATGTACTAAGATCAACATTTTTATGATGTTCATTTTAAAATTAATGAATATACTACTGTTCCAGACAGTCTCCAAAATATTTGTACACCATATGTAATTATTTAAATCCCCTACCAGTGACACCGGAGGGGACTACAGGTTTCCCCCTTATCTGTCCATCAGTCTGTCTGTCAGTCTTCTTCACTTGGTTTTCTGGATTTTTTTTTCCAAGCACTCGCAGATACATGTGTATTCAGCTGATTTTTAGTATATGTGAGTGTATATGTACCTTGATAAGTTCAGGTCAAGTTTGCAGTTCATTACACTTTGTTTAATTTTTTAGGGGAACCAGATTACACTTGCAAGTAGGCTTATGTAATACTCACAGGATGATTGTTATTTTGAAATTTATTTTCATTTACAAATAACAATTAACAAAACATATAACACTAGAATGTATAAGAATTACATTTAAAAAAAAATAGTACATCATAAGTAGGGCAACATACAGTATATAAAATGATAAATAAATGTATATTATATGCAGGAAGGATTTTATGATTGGAAGTGTTTTTTAATTTAAAGACTTGCATGATTAAATGATCATTTTAATTTAATTTCAATATAGATGCATACATGATGGTGGGCTGAAGAAGAAAACCAGGACAAAAGAAAATTCCTAGTGTTCATCAGAAAAAATGAATCATGCAACCATTTTGAGTGCTTGAATGCCGAACTGAGAGACCACCAGCCAGTGCGGAAAATATTTCTTGGAAGTTACACCAAATCTGCTGTGACAATTGAATTAAAGCTTTAAAAGTAGATTTAAAAACATACTGATTCCTCTATAAGTGAGACTTGATTGCTTTTGACAGTTGCCAGTGGATTTCAGATCTTCTAAATTGTACCAATATTATATATTGAAGTGATTTGCCTTAAAATTACATTTGTATATGGTGTAATTATTTCAAGGAGATATAACACTCTTGCATGGTTAAACAGTAAGGTCCATAGCTAAACATGGATATGGAATTTAGCTCACCTGATCCAAAGGCTCAATTGCACAATTCTGATAAAAAGAAGTCTTTGGTGTCCAACAATACATTATTTATATGTTTGACTGTCTTCCTCCATTAACTTTTAACATTTTCTAATTTTTTTTAACATTTGGTCAATGTAAAGCACATTTGGTACAATGTATCTCAGATTAAAAGGAATAAAGCTTATTCAAATAAAGGGCTGCATCCTTTTCCAAGGGGAGATAATGAAGAAATATGAAAAATGGGATAATGTCATTTAAAAACTTTCATTTTAAGATCTACTTGGTCATATAAGACAAATGTTATCCAAGAGTTTCTTAATGAACATAGATTCAAGTTTTTTTTCATTGCCCCTAAAGCGAGGGTAGAGCTGCAGAGGGGGTTAAAAGTTTTGCATGAAAATATGTAAAATGAAAAACTAGCAGGGTGACATAAATCAAAGTCATATGCAAACATTACAACATCATATGGATTTAATTTTGTTCAAATTATAGACATTGGGGCTAAAAGTAGGGTTTTCATTTTGCATGTATCTATGTGTCAACATTTAAATTTGTTTAATATTTGGGCATTGGGGTTACATGTAGAAACGGACTGAAATTAGGGTTTAAATTTTACATGTATAGAGGTGTCAACATTTTTGATGGGAATATGGAGGGGGAAAATCTTTAAAAACAATCTTTTCAAGAACAGTAGACACAAAATGTCTCAGGCAAGCATTTTGGCTTTTGGCATCTTCAGTGTATTAGATTCTCATTCATATAATTTTAAGATCATAAAAGTACACCCTTTTCTGAAGAAACATAGTGAGTTTAATTTTTTAAAATAATAAATGATTTTAATGGAAAAAGATGAATTAAGCCTAGTCATAAAGGTCCAGTTCTCATTTTGAAGTCTTGTAAGGGTTTTTACCTATTTGAGAAGTAATTTGAATTTGTACTTGGTTGTGGCACATATCTATATCTGTGTAAACCAGTGTATTATATGCAAATATTGTTCAGAATTAGTTGACTTATTAATGAAATTATTTATAAAGATTTAAGTGAGCCTTCTGGTCAGATGGGTTTTTTTTAATAAGTTCTTTTTTATAATTTTTTTAAAATCAAATTTGAAAATATGTAAAGAGATAGGCATTATTCACTATTTATATTTCAGGTCTCAGTGGAAGTTTGATGTCCAAAATTGAAATATATCTGAATCAGTCTGTTTTACTTTTTGATCTGCTAGCCTAGCCCGTATTGTTCAATGTGCTAAAATATTCTCATTACATTAATGAATTAATAAAGTAATAAAGTAAATTTGTATTCATTTTATAAAATATCTATGTATATCTGATTGTGTTGGTCAAAAGTTTTTTAGAACTTAGAACCAAGCTTAAAAGATTCTTTGTTTGCATTTGCAATATCCGCTAACATGCCTCAGGCTGGCCCTACCAAATCTAGAGACCAAACTTTGTCACACTCTCCCTGCCACCGTCCTTTACAACTTGGAGTTTATGATGAACTAGTGAATTGTGTATGAAATTACGTATGGCTGGGAGTGTGGTGAAGTTTGAGATTGTGATGACTGGGGCCATGAGAGTTACTTTATTCAAGGATAAAACGTTACTGAAAGGCACACGCTTGGGTTTTTCTACAAGACAGGGTACTAAATTTCATGGATGATATTGAGGATATCAAATCTACATTCAATAAAGGAATCAGTGACAATGTTAAGCAACCTCAACCCCTCCCCCCTCCACATTTTGGGTACTTGTATGAGAATCCCCCCCCCCCTTTTTTTTAAAATTAAATTTCCACTTTGATTATACTGATGGAAGGGGTTAAGAAAAACAATATATTATTTGATAAGGTTGGATACATGTGGTATTGAATCAGGGCTTTGGAGCACACTCCGTTAAAGAAATTCTGGAAATATATAAGGAACCTAAATCCAGTTTCTTCCTTCTGTTGGCTAATGAAATGAGCTTGTTAGTCCGTTGGCCTGTATATTATAGATTTTTGCAAGAGTATCTAAGGGCCCGGAAATACAACATCGTTATTTTGGTATATTATACTTTCATGTAAATAACTGGAATTTGATTCTTTGAGAAACATTTATTTAAAAAACACTACTACCCTCTGAATGATAGAACCACGCCTTCCAGATAGAATTTAGTAACAGGCAACATTGCTTGACGACGAGTGATATCACCCCCACCCCCACCCCCCACCCCCCACCCCCAAATAAATACCGCCCGGAATCTATTTGCGAGCGCTTCATCTTTATTTACAGTATTTGTATAAAACATTCAGAATAACATAATGAATACTACATGTAGTAGAGGGTATCATTTGAAAATTTACATTGTTATACCTTTAAAAATTAGTTCCTATATAAATCAATATTAGTAAAAGTCTAACATTTCCAATGTTTTACTGAGCGGGCATAAAAAAATCGATGTTTGACCGCTGAGTGAGATCTTGGATCTGTCGATGAGATGTTGGACCGCTTACGTCACCTAATGGGCGGGGTCAGCTAAATCTCATTAGCATTCGTTGGTGGTCGACATACATGTGCATTGTATGTCAAATAATAATAATAAAAAAATAAATAAATGAAATAACAAAACATTTATTTCCTGTGTTCTCCGGCAAAATGCGTTTTGTCGACCCCCTCGAACCAAACTAACGGCCTCAGGCAAACAGTTTGGTTCTTGGGTCCGACAAAATGCATGTTGCCCTCGAACCCAGTCAATAAATGTATAATGTTAAACTCAACTATATACATGCAGTATTTATATAATTTGATGTCCATGGATACTATAATCAAAGAAGTCACTTTTTTTCGTTTATGCGATATAATGAATTACCTTTAAACGGATTAAAATTGTTTGTCCCTGACACCTGGTTACAAGCGTGTTTTACTTTGTATGCGGAGTACACTGTATCTATTAACAATAGTCACAAGAAGTTCTTCAAAAGCGCGTGTGTCAACACAACAAGTTGCTGTTTAATTTTAATAATTTTCCATACATGTTTATCTAATATCATTACATTTTGAGACATACTGGAATTATCTGTATTAATTATTTAGTTTGCCTATCGAGGTAAATTGAATTACTATAATAAACGCGGTGTAAGTTGTTGTGAATTTTTTTTATTGGTTTACTGTTGAAATGCGTATTTAGAAAAATAGTGTTTTCTACTTTTTTTTTTTCGAATGGAGATATGATTTAAAAAGTCAGATAAATTTTTTATAAGGACGTAAAGGAATTATTCGAGAATATTAAAATGTTAAGACGAGGTAAAATTAAACCTACTGATATATATAAAAAAAATTAATATGTTTTATTTATGGTGAAAATTTAAACGGATGAGGAGCAATGCAATTACATTGTGTATTCCAAAACGGGAGGTCATTACTGATACATTGCGAAAAATTTCAATTCATTACCGCTACATGCATTTCTTCGAAATTTCGGGTGATCGTTACCGCTACATTTTATCTATAAAAGTATTGGCGATTACAACTCAACTACATATTCGAATCTGTCAGCAATGGCATGGAATATGCATGAGTTCTATTCAGACCGGAAGGAGAGTAACACCACGAGTCTGAAAAAGAACTGTTCGCAAAATATGAAAATGATGAGATTTCCAGACAGCAGTAGGCCTACGTCAAGCAAAAGACCTTCAAAGATCTATCAATTCTGTGAAGACTGTGTGTTTTATCCATGAACATTTTCTCTGTTTTAATATTTTCTAAAAGGTTTTATTACATAAAATAGATTTCATAAAAAAAAGTGGAAAAAAATCTGCTCAAAGTCCTACATACACTTCCCTCGTGGTGAGCAGAAAAAAAGTCTTGTACATGTGTTTGTTGTACTTTTAATCAATATGTACATGAAAAAGCTGCTGGCTATAACGAACGAGGCAATGTAGCGGTAATACAATCTTTTTTGTAGAGGTAATGAGTATGTACATGTAGCGGTAATGAAAATTTTGAAAATGTAGCGGATATGATACGCGCCCTCCAAAACATATGACTTGATCTCTCTCCCCCCCCCCCCCGCCGTTTGGCCGAATTATTTCAGTATACAAACCCTTTTTGATATTTTTTTTTTTATTTGTAGCAACTTTAAAGTTTAAAACGTTTTTATTTTATTATATTATTTAAAGATTGGAGTTATTATTTACGGATTTGAATTTAATATTCCAACAAATTTGTCTGAAAAAAAATTATCCCAGGAACGTGCGTCGGTAGTAGTTGATGTTAATGATAATGAAAACTATTACATGTATTACAATAATAAGTAGATACATGTAAAAGGCTATTCGAATTTAACAGTTTCGTATTTTTTCCCGACTAATCAATCATTTAAGACGACAATAGTATTAGGATATACACGAACTCCAAAGAGCAAGCTATTTTCCGAGGCGAAGTCAGCAAGATTTCAGTTCCCCAAGAGCAAGCCTATTTCCCGAGGCGAAGCCGAGGGAAATATAGCCTTGCTCGATGAGAACTGGAATCTTGCTGACTCCTTCAATGATATATATACTTTAACTGTTTATTATACCGATACAAAAAAAATATACTTTCAGAGAATCAGGAAAATGGGTCAATTTACTATTATTTGGTGAAAATCAGTAGAGGTAGAATATATATTTTTGTATCGGAAAAAATTCTGATAGAAAACTATTTTAATAATCAATATATATTGATAACGTATATACTTGATATATCTACATGTAAATGTTGCGTTAAGTTTTTTGATTAACTTGTTATTAAGCGTTATTTTACCGATTTCTGTTTGATTTTTCTTTCGGTAAGTATCTATCGATGTATAATGGGGGCCTATAGCATATAGATTTGTACTTTCTGCTTGTATTTCATAAAAACAGAATTTCAAAAGAAACCACTTCGAATGTATATTGTTGCCATCACCTTTCCTTTTCTTAAATTTTTAAGTGCTGTGGGTATATACTGTTCGTAAAAAATAAATCAGCGCTCCGTTCATTAAATGTTGGAAGATAAAAATAAAAGTTAATTTTGTCGGCTAAAACTGTCATTATTTTATAAACCATATTGGAAAAACACCATTTCATCATGCACGTCTATAAAAGTAAACTGTTATACGTGAAAAGCGAACAAATGCTTCCAGTCGAAGAAACCTTAAGGCCATCATTAAAAATATGTTTGTTTCCCCTAACCCGACCCTAGAATCTGAAGTTGGTAGGTAGGTAGGTAAATAATTTTTTTCTGACAGCAGCTTTAAAAAAAACATTCTGAATTTCTGATAAGAACGGGTTTTGAGGAAATTGAATGTTGACAAACATTTAAAAAAAAATATTTGTGTAATCTTCTTTAAAAAAAAACTTTTCAGTCGGCGGGAGTTAGTTGGGTCGGTCGCGTTAGGGGAAACAAAGGTATTTTTTTTTTTATTTTCGCCCTAAGGGAAAGGTAACGAAATACGGAGCTAGGGCTAAAATGATCCAAATCATCGGAGGAAAAGTCACTGTGGATAAGTAAATTTGCACAAAATGCACCCTTAATTGGAATTATAAGACGAATCTTCGGACTTCTTCTGATGATGGCCATTCAAGTGCTAAAACTTTTTATGTCGACACAACATCTCACATTGTGCTTTTTGTAGACCATTTCAATAAAAAAAAGTTCATAAAAACTGTTTCTAAGGAAGCCTGCACACAGGTATTTTTGAATTATAATGTGATATTGCACGACAATGCACGTGCATACTCCTCTCACATGTCCGATGAACGTATGACTAGAGATTTAGATGTTATTGAAACTTCCATCGGATTGATGAAATAGGGTGTTAAAATGTCTTGAAATAAGAATTATTTCTCTCACTGGAGGG